TTTGATTCAAGCAAATGCCATTCGCAGACCATCTGCGCTGTTGATCGTCGCTCTTCCCACTTATTATTTAACACTACTCTGCCGCGATGAGCCACGTCACCCACATATGTCTGCCAAACAGCAACTGTTAATCTCCATTTGTAACAAAACCAAAATCTCGCCCCCTGTTTTGCGCAGCGACTATGGAAGAACAATGCCCTCGCGCTCTCAAGTCCCACCGTAAGAGCCGCAATGGGGCACCTAAATGACATGACCGACTGAATGAATAGTCAAATTAATTAGCTTTGCGAAAGCCTTCCCTAAAATCTTCGGAGAAGCAATCAAAGATGGGATACGACGCTTGAACACAGGCTAGAGGAAGTGGAAAGTAATAAATAGATAAAGCAACGCTGAATAAGAAAAGCTGTGAATCATTAAAGATGACTCCGGCGACTATCCATTCGAGGTCTTGCTTCATCTAGAATGTCACTCGGATGAATTCAAGCCGGCTAAGAGAGTTTAACTTTGATCGTCGTCTCACACTGCCTTTGCAGCAGCAGCAGCACACAGTCAGAGTCTGCACACGGACAAACGACACTAGCAGGGGAAGTCTGTGTAATTACTACGACAAAATTCATTATTTGCAGTAAAAAAAAAAAAGGTAAATGGAAACTAGTACAGCTGCGTAATGCTGTGGCCACGTATCGAGTGACAAAGCTCATGACAGTACGGAAACATTTGCTGGACAAACAAAAGACCATTGGAATTAATTATATTTTTAAAAAGACTCCAAAGGCTGTAAATGTCAATAAAGATCCTTTCTATGAGTCCGGGAAACACTTGGAGATGAATCTTTCCTGGATAGAAGGCACCATCCTTTTTGCGGGCGTCAAAATCTAAGGTCAAAACATTTTGGTGAGGGCAAAATTTGCTTGCGGATTTCACTTCAGGACTCTTGAGAGAACGCCAAGACGCTAGCAGATGTTTAACTGCAATTTACAGTAGTCTGTCAGCAATATATATGCTGCAGCATGATCTGTTTCCATAGAAACCACTAAGAACTCGTCAAGTATACCAATGTGCTCGGATTAAATTAAGATTCCAGTAAATTTGTATTCCCCGGGGACACGAGAAGCAAGTCCTTAGCATGCTAACAATCAATGTATGCAAGATGTCAACAGAAGAGGCCATCGACTTGATAAGAGGAGAAAGTCGGAACCAAACGCACAGTCGCGCTGTTTTTTATTAGGACTTTGTTTTGCTTCAACTAATGATCCATGGCTAAATGATGCTTTGCGCTTATTTAATAGCTGCCGGCGGCTTCATCTCATTTGCAACAAAGCTAACCAGCGCTGACACTTGGCAAAACGAGCTTCCGAACATGCGGCGAATGTGCGCGTTGTAAACATCGGCATTCGGGAACGGGCGCACACGAGCGCGTGATGCATTGTGACAACCTAATTACTATCTACCGTTTTGATTAAAGTGTGACATAATTGGCTATTTTCGTTTCTTGACACAAGGCGGCCTCGTCGACTCACTAGCAAGAGGGAAGGGACATAAATGGGCCAGCGCAGAGTTGAAAGTGGGGCTCGGGTGCCAGGGGACGGATGACAGTGGGCAACGTGCCTGTTTTCAACACTACTGTGGTCCAACTGTGACACAAGATGACAGCCAAATAACACTTGGTCGGTGGTGAGCCGCAAGGGTGAGACTCCTCACAACATGGCGGCTCACACAAGACAACCGACACGAGCTGAAAAAACCTGCCCAAGTCCAAGTCTGGTTGTTGACGGGAATTTAAGCTAGCCTCACTTAGCACGCTTCACCCATGACCTGTGGATGGTTTCGTCATCGGCAGGGCATTTTCAAACAATGACGCACATGCCACAAATACAATTACAGAGGCATATGCCCCTTTTGTCCGCCCGCCCCCCACATCGCTGGGATAAGCGGTGCAGAGGAATGGATGGACGGGTGTTCCATTTAAATTGCCACCGCCACATGATGGTGGGACAGTTGGCAATCTTATGCGTTGGTAGGAAGTAGATATGATGTGGCTTGAAGAATCACAGGAGCTCCTCTCAACTTTTCATCGACACTTGTGAGGCACTGTGAAGGCTTTTGGGGCCAACATATTTTTTAAATAATTCTCCCTATGACAAACCCTCATTCCGATGACCTTGGAACATGATGGAATATGTAACTAAAAACAGAATACAATGATTGACAAGTCCTTTTCAACTCAATTAAAGTACACGATACGACAGCGTGATCAGCGAGATTAGACAATGGAATTGATCCGAGAGATCGCGTGCATGCGTCCGTGCTGCCGTTTTGTTTAGCAACGGCGATCTAACGGGCACAACGGTTCACAAATGTCCGCGTAAAATCAATAGAGTCAGTGAAACGAGGTAACTAAGATAACAGTTGCTGACGCTTTTTTAATGTCCCCGATGGGAGTGGGAAGGCAGATTTATGAGTGAGACGATAATACAGCCGAGACTAATCGGGGAACATTGTCTATGAGAAGGCGGGCCGCCATTTGTGGAATACTAATATCACTCTTTCAGATGCCGTCGACTGACTGGATTGTCATTGTTTCTTTTCGTTGGTAGGACGACAGAGATAGCAAACAGGAGCTCATTTTGTGAGCAGCCACTGAAGAAAACTGCCGTTTGTTTGGAGCTTGTCGTTCTGGGTGTAATGTGCGGGAAAACATCCGTCTTTTTTGCTTCTAATTGTGCCACCGCATTCCACTGTAAATCACAGACTGTCTGTTGTTGCCGAAACAGATCTCCCTTTGAAATGAGTTGCTCGCTGCTGCCGAAAGCAAAACAATGAGCTTGCATTTGGAAATGATCAAACTAATTAGGTGGCAGATATGAGTTATGAAGCAACTTTCCGCAGTTTGGGGGGAGGGGGGTGAGCCTTCAAGAGGATGACACCATGCCTGTGAATATCAATTAGCCTCTGTAAATGATACCCTCGAATTTCCTGATAAACCCTCAAAGAGGTGATCCGTTATCCATTCAGACACGCGCTTTCATTATTTTGGTTGAAATTGAACAGAAGTAGAAATGCTCAGTGCTTTACTGTGCTACATTCCACAGGCATCCAACAATATTTACAGAGAAATGCAACATGCACCCATAACTCGGTGTACGGTTAGGCGGGCATGACCACCTTGAAGGGGAACTGATCAATAGAATGCCAAACGGTTCGTAAAGTTGATCCCGTTGTGGAGGAAGTAGCACAAACAGATGCCAGGCTCTGGAGTAGCAAAGCTTGACAGGTTGAAAGGTTTGGAACTGTCACATTTGCTGCTTTTTGTGCAACTCACTCACTCACTGGCCACTGGATGCTTCACTATATGGCAAAGAACTGAGGATTTGAGAAAGAAGATGGTTACTTAGTTTATAATTGGCAACACAAGGGGGAAAAAAAATATGCAACGAGACCAACACTTGAGCGCAAACCCACACCGGGTGTCAATTACCTTATCAATTCTTCAGTCCAAATCTTTGTAAACTTAAGATGGCTCCAGTCACACTTAGCGGCTGATAACCCAAATCCATAAATGTTGGCAGCGAGCGGCCAATTCTGTACGCTCTGACCTTCATTCACAAACGCCAGTGATGATTTCAAAAATAGAGCAGAGGTTTCATCATCACCACCCAGGCTGTCTTTGGGGAAAACGTATCAAAGCAGACATGGCATTCCATCTTCTCCAACCCGGGCGATCTATGCTAGCACTATGAGCACAAATGATCAAGTACAAGTGTTCCAGCATAATTTGAAATTGCATCCTACCGGAGATGGTATTATGTCGTTGGCAGCGCAAAACTGTGAATTATCGATGTCATACTTGAAGGAGTCTTCAATATTCACCGAATCACTCACCAGTAGCCAGTAATTGTCATCTGAGAAGAATCATGAGCAAGACTTTGGAGATGGCTTGACAATGTCGAACAGCACGGAAGTCAGCATTCCGAGTTCACTCACATCATTTTAATTTGCAAAATATGCCTCCCAAGTTGAAAAATCATTGCCTTGACGGAAAGAATTCACTTCCTTGGTGTGCTTTTGACTCGTGCGATGCCACCACGTGATGGCAAAGGGGACAAGAGTTCAAACGACCAAAGAACCAGAAAAACAGAACTGCCGCGTTCACTTGAACAGGCTCAGATTGGCCAATTGAATCAGTTCATTCGTGAGCAATTTCAGTTAAGATCCTGAATATTTAATTCTTCATACATCTTGTGACTTTTTTTCCTTTGGTGGCGTGCCGTGATATTTTTTCAAATGTAAAATACGTGCCTTGGCTCAATAAAAGTTGGGAAACACTGGGGACTGGGATGGCAGTTCTTAGACAATGACAGTTTTACTCCTCGGCTAAAGCATGGTTTCATTGTCACTTTATTTGAAAGTGTTTGAATGATTGGCTCATTGGTTTAGTCTTCATTGAATGTTGTGTGTACGTATGTAACTTGCGTGCATGTTTCTAAGAGGAACTGGCAACTGTCAAAAATCCTAATCAGATTTTTTTTTCTTGTCTTGGAAGATACGTCAAAACGTTGTCAAGCACGTATAGTGATAAGGATGTTGCCGAGCCTAAATCATCTCAAGATCAATACTTTGTACTTAACAACACATCACTTGTGGAAAAAGACAATTCGGCATCAGGGGATGCCTTAAGACGGACTTATATTTGAGCCAGAATTTTAAGAGAGACTACAGAAGCAAAACTAACATACAATCATTAGAACACATTTTTTTTCTTCAGGAATACTAGTCAAGAACTAACAATATTAATAATTATATTGAATCATATATAATCGGAAACATTAACCAAAATGTTACTCTTGAAAATTCCCATATTCCTTCACAGCTTGACTCGCCGTCACGCTTTACTTAGTTGACAGTCCCGGCCGGGTCCTCCTTGACCCTCCCAATCGGCTGACTGATGTCTGGGGAAATCAATGGAGACCAGCGTGTGTGCGTCCTCAAGAACGTCTTACCGGTGGCTGCTGAGAGCCCAGCGCCCCCCTTTTGGTGGACCCCCCTCTGGAGCTCAGCCTCTTCCAAGACTCGGAGAAGCGCCCCCTGGCGGTGGGACGCCCCGGCCCCGACGCCCCAGATGCGACGGACGCATCATCGCGGGTGGAGAACGCTTGGTCCTTGCGCGTGTCCCTCCGCTCGGCCCACTTCTTCTTGGAAGCCATCGCTGTCGAAATGTGGTGAGGAGGATGTGCGAAGTCGGGCGGCCTTCTTCATCAAACTGGTGCCACAGGTGGCATGCCCATTTTTTTTTTCCAAACTCGCCTGTCAACTGAGCCAAGCTGACAATGAGTGTTTGTTCTCCTCAGTCCAGGAAATGCTGAAAGAGAAATCTTCCTTTTCCTTCCTTGACTTTGGTCTCAGCGTCTGTTTTGTGATTTGGGGTGGGGGGGGGGTGAAAAAAGAAAGAGCAGAACAAGTGCTCACTCGGCGCTGAACTCTGCTGCTCTTCTCGTCTCTCTGGTAGCCCGGTCGGAGAGGAGAGGCGGCGACACAGAAGCTGCACCCTGTTGCATGTGCTCGGAGTGCGGCTCCTTTTGCCTCCTCGCAGAAAGAGGGAGGGTGGGAGGGAGAGGGGAGGAGGGGGTCTGAGGGTTTCGGAGATCCAGGTGGATGATTAAAAAAAAGAAAAGGTAAAAAAAAAACCCCAGAATGGTTTCAGAAATTAGGAGATCCGCTTTGAATGACAAAGAGCAACAGATAACGACACAGGTAGAGAGGAGAGGAGAGGAGGAAAGGCTCCTGGAAAAAGGGAGGGGTGATTCTGTGGAGCCTCGGCGTTAGGTTGTTCACTCTCTCCCTGAGACCAATCTGAGCTCCAAAACCTGAATGCTCGTCCTCCTCTTTGGCACGCAGTTAACACAGCTCACATGAGCCTCGTTTTGGTTCCTGCAGGCAGTTTCTGACGAACCCGACATATGCGACGTCGCACAGCACAAGAAGGCACCCGAAGTTACCTTCTGCCTTACTTGCTATTTTTCATTCGGTTCATACGAGATGTGTCAGGATTTGTGTCAGTTTCTCCTTTCCAAGTCCTCTCCCTGGAGTCTACTTTCCCGGCATTTCTGCCTTTTTGTGCACCGCTGGAAGTGTTCTTGTGTGTGGTCACAACTATCTTGACGTCGTACATGTCTTCAAACTCGATCCGCTTGGTCAATCTTTTGAGGTTGGAGAAGAGCGAAGGTGCGGCAACACACAGAGCTGGTCAGCTAAATTGGGAAGTTGCTCCAGCAAGGTGACGTTCTTCTTGGCCAGGAACTGTCAGATGCTCAGGGCGTTGTGTCATGGTGAAGCGATGTGAGTTGTCGAGCCACAACTCTCTCCCTCCACGTTCTTCAGAGTTCCAAAATATTTTCACATAAAAACAATTCAATGAGGAATCACCCATTCCAGGTTCCGTTGCCCTCTTAAAACATTCAATCATCCAGGCTTCTTTTCAGAGTTCCAAAATATTTTCACATAAAAACAATTAAATGAGGAATCACCCATTCCATGCTCCATTGCCATCTTAAAACATCTTTCAATCATGCAGGCTTCTCGACTGTCACCCAAACATTAAAATAGGTCAACAGCTAACGTAAAATGCAAAACACTCTCCCCTTGATAATAATTAAGCCAGTTGGTGGTGAACGATTATTTAAAAGTCAATTATGATCACTGGTCTTTATCATCGCTTCAGACTCCAGATCTTGACCCGCCGCTGCTTGTAATTGATTGCTGATTAATCATGTCTTAAAGCAATTAAGACTAAACGGAGAGCATGGCTTAATTGCATCCGGCAGAGGGACTGCTGAAGCAGCCTCACTTAGCTTGACATCAAAATGAAAAACAAGATATAGATGACATAATTGCTAGCGACCAGTCCAGGATGTACTCCGCCCGCCGCTTGTTCAAAGTCAGCAGGGATCGGCTCCTGCTCACCAGCTAGCCAAGTGAGGACATGCGCAATGGAAAATGAATGGATGGACCGTAACAGTGGCCATACGTTGGCATAAAAGCAAGAGTTCTGCTCCAACCATAAAAATAAAACAAAAACAAAAAAAAACTCTCAATGAATTCATCATTCCTTTCCCACTGTTTCCTAACTGTACAAATATTTGGGAAACTCCAGAGCAATTCTCTTATTTCACATTGCCCGGGTGTTCCATATAAAGTATCTCATCTCCAAGCTCTCAGTGGGAGTCTCTGATTTGGGCGGCAACGATGAAGACATTCTTCTGCTGCAACGCAACAAACTAGGGAATGGACAGACACATGTAAGAAGAGGCGGTAGCGTCAAACTCTGGGGACACTGTTGCCGTCGCCCACAACAACCATTCGACACCTGGGAGATAGGCTTTTGACAAGTGTGTGTGTGTGTGTATGTGTGTGTGTAATACATACAAGAAAATAAAACAACACAAACTCCCTGAAGGCAATGAATAGAAAGAGTCAAGTGTAGGAGTAAAAAACAAATCATATGCACAGACAAAAATTGATTATGACCACTGGTAGGATCTAGAGTACAGCACATGGCTACATAGCCATAAAAAAAAAAAGACGCATTCTGTAAGCACTTCACGAGTGCTTCAAATAATAAGAAATCATGCCGCATGTAACATATTTCTGTATAATTTGTACGAGGAGAGAGGCTGTATGCAAATGTCAAAAGGCAAAAACAATTTTCACTGAAACACTTGACTCTGAAATTCACTGACAGAATGACAACTGTCGCCGTAGCCACACTATGTTTTGCCTGCCTGACACGTAATAGATGTTGACGGCCTGTATTTTTGTGAAAACGTTCTCTGAATTTAAAAAGCGCCTCAGAGGCATCGGAGGTGTTCCATTGTTGCAGAATCCCCCCCTACTTGAGGGAGATAGGGTCCCAACTCTGCTGCAAATAGTGATGTGAACAATCAACACCCTCATAAAGTTTGCATAAAAGCACTTTAAAACGAAAGGATCATTAAGCATCAACACCCGGCTGCATTCACAGACATGAACCCAAACTCCATAAAGGACTCTATTTAGCTGGTGAAGGATTCAAAACAAACAAACATAAAAGTCACATGAGGCTCACCTATAGTATAGAGGGCTCCGTCCTTTTAGCAATTACCCACAATGCACTACCGGCGGCCATATTGGAGGCCTGTTATAAACAAGCCATACACGAATTCTATCGTGTATGGCTTGTTTATAACAGCCCTCCAATATGGCCGCCGGTAGTGCATTGTGGGTAATTGCTAAAAGGACGGAGCCCTCTATTAGCACTGCAGTCTCCTGTAGATACACAAACAAGCAAATATGCACACGGGCACGACACAAATGGCATCATAATACCAGTGACAAAAATTGAACATCGATTACACGGGCTATTAATCGTGAAAAATTACTGCATTTGAGGAGCACCTACAAAATGGACAGCTCGACCGCAGATAAAACTGCATCAATGAATGAAATCGAACCACAACAAGATTCCACCAGATGGCGCCAAATAATACGTTGTTTTTTTTTTTTTAAATTCCCTAAAAAACAATTTGCAAAAGTATCAAAAGAAATGCGCTTTCGCACGTGTTCCAATAGCTGATGGTCTGTTTTAAGAATTTGGGACACTGTGTCGCCTCCCACACGCCCACCCCTTTTCTTTACCATCAAGCATCCGCCTCCACATGGTTTCCATAGCAACAACGTAGAAAACTTTGATGTTGCATCATCGGCTCTTGATTAGAATCATCCCGTGCATGTATCACCTCGAGCAGTCATGACCTGTTTCTGCACACTCGCAGCACCATTATTACGTTTTCATTTACCGAAGTTGATGAAGCCCAAAGAAAAATCCATGCATTACAAAGTATGCCGCATAAAACTCCTCATTAACGGTCACAAATGTGAATATAAGAGGTCATTCCGGGTGGATACTAACAATCAGTTTTTCGGGAGTCTTTTTTAATTGGCCTGTCGAGGCGCAGGGGATATTGTTTCTTTCTGGGTGTGCTCTGTCCAATTGTGATGAAATAAATACAAGAGAAAGAAAACAAGAAAAATGTGTCAGTGCAAAAGCGGCTTGCGGGGTCTGGGAGAGCAGCACGACACCCTTTCACGCTTTATAATAGATATTGTCGCAGAACGGAGAAAAGAGATGGATTTTCCAAAGTGACACTCGACATGCAGGTGTAATAATTTCCATCAGTAACCGCTTGAAAGTGCGCTGGAACATTTGAGTTGTCATGACTTTCTCCAAATTTAAATACAGAAATTAAGCTGCTGGTCGGGAGGCGGGGGGAAAAAAATGATTGTGCGCTTCCTAATCCAACTTTTATAAATCCGTGGCTTAGTTTTCCGGGCTTAAATCTGAGCTTTTGAAATTGCTGCCTGAAAATCTTGAGCATTTATCACCCACTTACAGACATTGAAACTCAGCGACAACGATTTTGCTCTCCCTCGGTTGCAAACATTCAAAACGCAACAAGTGCAATGATTCTCGAGCGCAGATGATTACATTGGTTGCGTGATGAACACAATTAGTGTTTTGTCATTTGCGATCAGTTCCGGAGAACACTGGAAATTGTAACAAGTGACCCCCGTGCATAAGAGGGGTTGGTAATGGCAGCACTTCAAATGCAAAGGAGCATAAAGCATCAACACCATGCTTCTAGTACGTAGCCAATTCTTTCTTTCAGTATGGTGCCTAGACAAACGAAAAACTGAAGTGGCCGCAGATAGGAATTTTATGTGAACATTTGTCAATTGGTCTTTTCAGAAACAAACGTAGCTTTTCTGAAGAGAAAGTACACGATCATCAGTACCGACAGTATCAGTACGATGCCTTTCCCGGCCGGGCAAAGATAAAGTTGTTTCTTACCTTGATCTCTGTACACAGTGGGGTGAGAACTCTTCTACTGTGAGACTTCCTCGCCATCTTCCTCTGAGGAATGAACCCCCCCAAAAGGAAGAGAAGTTGGTAAGAAAACATTTTAGAAAGAAAAACGCTTCCAAATCGTTTTCGGGTGATGTGAGGAACACATGAGAATATTACATTTCGATCTAGACAAGTGAATGCTTAAAAGCTGAGGCCGGACCGGAATCTTGTGCACTTAAGTGAGGAACGATGTGGACTGGTATCGACCGATACCATGACACGGTCAAATGTTATGATGCGGGGCTTTTGTTTTGAAAGAAGTTGAACAGTAAGAAGTTGGAATGGTTTGAATTGGTGAAGGTGTGTGGAAAATGGTGATGAATTTGGAAAAATGCATCCGTTCGGGGCTTTTATTTTGAAATCTTGTTAATGAGCTGAATCGATCAAGAAATGTGGAAACTGAAGGTAAATGTGATTTTTTTTTTTTTTGTTAATGAGCTGAATCGATCAAGAAATGTGGAAACTGAAGGTAAATGTGATTTTTTTTTTGAAAAAAAAATTATTTGGGGCTTTTATTTGGAATGTTTGGGGAATTCGGGGGGCTGGGGAGGTGTAAATAATTTCCTAGATGTCCTTGATGAGGTGAGAACATTTGAAAGTTGGAATGGTTTGAATCGGTCAAGAAATGCGGAAGTTGGAGG